GCTGAATGAAGGATGGGATTGGAGTGGGAAGAGACTTGAGGCAGAGAGACCCACCAGCAGACTACTGTGACAGCCCAGCTGTGAGGTGATGAGGGCCTACACCAGAGACTGGTGTCAGTGTGGGAGATACAGGGGAGGGAGAATTGGAGAGAGGCTGCAAAGGTGAAATTGACAGACCGTGGCAACAGATTGGATTTGGGGGGTCTGAGGGGAAATAAATGAGGAGTGGAGAACAACACCTAGGTTATGAGCCTGAGGAAACTGAGGCAGAAGGAGGTTCCGGGGTAACAAGCTAATAAGTGCCTGAGGCTGAATTTGAACTCAGGTATCCCTCACTCCAGATCAAGAACTCTATCCACTGTGCCACCAGCTGCTTCTAAACCCATACAGGTGTGGACAGATGTGGATTTGCACCAATAGAGAGAATAACTGAGTTGATGGACCACAGATCTATTGAAATATAATTGCCAATAGTCCAATGCCTTCTTTTGACTCAATTATATAGAAAACTCAAAGAAATGAACATCTTATCACATAATAGAACCATATTGTGGTCTACTTTATTTCACCCATCCCTACACCAAGTCTCCTGGGGCCACAAAGCCAAGTTCTTAACCCACACAATCACTTTAATCAAAAGCAATTCACTCACTTCCCTTAAATAGTGGGTGCTACCACAAACTTTTTTTAACCTCTATATCTGTGTTTACTAACATAACCTCACTGACATACTAGATACTTACCAGAGTGGGGAAAAAAAGAAGTGCTTCCAAAGTTGCATCTGATTTCTGGTTAAAAACATTACCTATCATTAGTACTGCAAAAAAGAGCCACACATATATTCCAAATCACAAACATATTTTTAGGATTTTGTTCAAGGCAATGAAGTATATCCACAGATAACAACACAGAGCAATGTGGGGTTTCCTACTTTTCTCCAAATGAATGGAACAGTTTCCAAAAGTCAATACCTATTATGATAGATAGGTGACTTTCAATAACCACCACATTAAGTTCTCTCTTTGCATTCAGTTGAAAATGGGTCAGAAATATTTCCTAAACACATCTCACCTGAATATGTTTCCTCACTTTTATCAAAGAATTACATTTCAATAAAAAACTTAAGAATGTTTTGAAGAGAATGTGAGAACTATTTCCCGCAGAGAGTTTTCTAGAGCTTCCTGAGATGTCTAGATGAACCAAAAATAGGGGAAGGAAAAAGGTGCAATCCTGACTAAAATATTTACATTTCTTAACTCCTCTGTGACAAAGTACAAATAACCAGAATCACACCAATAATGCTGAACTGAAGCTTACTGAACTTAACCAAAAAATAAGAGATGGGAACAATTAATAAAATTTTTTTTTAAATGCAATTGGGGTTAAGTGACTTGCCTAGGGTCACACAGCTAGTGTCAAGTGTTTGGTCTGAGGCTGGATTTGAACTCAGAGTCCTCCTGACTCCAGGGCCGGTGCTCTATCCACTGCGCCACCTAGCTGCCCCTTAATGAGATATTCTTGAAAGGCGTTAATAACTTCAATTACACTGAACAAGCATTTTGCCTACTACAGAAGGCACTCTGTAAGATGTCTTGGAAATTCAAAGCTTCACAGTTTCTTCCTTCAAGAATGGGAGGGGATGGGGCAGCCAAGTGGCATAGTGGATGGAGCTCCAGCCTTGGAGTCAGGAGGACCTGAGTTCAAATATAACCTCCGACAGTTGGCACTTACTAGCTGTGTGACCCTCAGTAAGTCAAGTTTTAACTTCAACTGCCTCAGGAAAAAAAAAAAGAGAAGATCGACATGTTAGCGGCCTTCCTTTCACTCCTTAGGGGCAGCTAGGTGGTACAGCCCTGGAGTCAGGAGGACCCGAGTTCAAATTGGGCCTCAGACACATTAACACTCACTAGCTGGGTAACTCTGGGCAAGTCACTTAACCCCAACTGCCAAAACAAAAATACAAAACAAAACAGAAAGAATGGGAGGGGAGGGGAAATAAGATATATACACAAACAAATATAAAACAATTCAGAAAAAAAATCTAACATACCCATCTGACTGGCAAAGTTAACATAAAAGGAAAATGTTAAATGTTAAAAAGAAGCTGCATAAAAACAGGCAAATTAATGCACTGTTGGTGGAGCTGCAGTCCAGCCATTCTGGAAATCAGTTTGGAACTATGCCCCAAAAGTCACTGAATTGTGTATTGACTCAATTATATCACCATTAGGCCCATACCCCAAAGAGATCAAAGAAGACAAAAAGAACTCACATACACAAAAATATTTATATAGGTGGTTTTTTTGTGGTAGCAAAGAACTGAAAACTAATGGGCTGTCCATTTGTGGAATGGCTGAACAAATTATGGTATATGAATATAATTGAATACTGTTAAACCATAAGAAATTATGAGCCTCAGAGAAATCTGGGGAAGACTTGTGTAAACTAATGAAGAGTAAAGCAAGCAGAACCAAATAAACAATGTATATAAAAACAACAGGGTAAAGGCAAACCATTTTGAAAAACTTAAGAACTCTGATCAATGCAATGACCCAATATTGGTCCAAGGGACTAATGATTATACCTTTTTTCCATCTCCTGACGGAAATAATGGATTCTTAGATGCAGAAACATCTATTTTTATTTGTGGCCAATGTGAAAATTTGTTTTGTTTAAATATGAATATTTGCTATAAAATTTGCTATAAGAATTTTGGTTTTCTTTTTTTTCCCCTTATGGGTAGAGAGGGGGGAGGGGAATGAGAGAACTGAGAAAATAAATGCTTCATTAACTGAAAAAAAATTTTAAAGGAGAAAAAAAGTATAGAGAGAAGTCATGGTTTAACCATGGCTGGTGCAAAAAAGGCTTTATAGAGGAAATGGCACCTGAACTGAAAAGGTAGATAGATGGTTGAGACCACATCAGAGTAGAGGAAAAAAGACAATCCAGACAGAGGAAAAAGCACAAAAAAACGAAAAAAGATAGAACAATGCAAGGACATTCAAGAAAGAATAAGTATTTTTTGACTAGCATACAAGTTATATGTGTTTAAGAAAATAACAGAAGATAAAGAAGTCAACCTGAATAAGAGACAGTTGAAAGACAGCCTAGAATGCAATACTAAAGAGTTTGGACTTGATTCTATAAGGAGGGGAAGTGATTGAAAGATTTTAACCAAAGGAGTAACATGATCAGAATCATGCTTTAGAAAGGTTGGCATGTAAGATGGATTATGGGGCAAAGACTGGGAGTCAGGAAGACCAATTAAGACATTGATACAATTGCATGAGATTAGTATAAAACTCAATTAAGACAGCATTGAGAATGGAAAGGAGAAAAGAGATGTTTCATTGGCAAAATTAGAGAAGTGATTGTGCCATTAACAAAAGGAATTCAGAACAGGTTTATAGAGGCAAGGAAAGAGGATGAGCTCTCTTTAAATAATGCTGAGATGCCCACAGGCTATTTCTACCTGTTTGTCTTGCTAACCATCAGAAATGCAAATGTGAACATCAAGATGAAAGATTGATATTTAGAGCTATCAATTTAGGAGACATGTCTATAATCAATAGCTAAGTAGATGTATTTGTCTAGGAGGAAAAAGTAAAGAGATAGAAAGGTCAAGAGCAGAATTAAAGGGAATGCAAGAGGAGTCACTAAAAAGAGACTAGACTAATAGTCAGAAAAGCAAAAGGAGAAAAATTCAAGGTGTTTCATGGAAGTCCCGGGATGAAAATTCAAAGGAAGGGGTAGTAAGTATCAAATGCTGCAAACAAATCAAAAAGAATGAAGCCTGAGAAAGTCCTGTTAACTTTGATTATCGGGACAGCAATGGCTATTTCTGAAAGAACTATTTCAGTAGATTGATGAAGGCAGAAGAAAGAATGCATGCAGTGGGATGAGTGGGTAGTCAGGAAGTAACAGCAAGGAAGTATACATAAGATAAGCAATAAATGGAAAGAAAGTCAAGAAGGAGATTTGGAGAGGGAAGAAAATAAGGGTCACCTGAGCATATTTTTAGGCAGAGGCATCAGTGGAGGGAGAATCATTTTGCAAGAAAGAGGAAAGGAGAAAAGATGGATTTACAATCATGTGCAGGTAAGTAAGCCTTGGAAAGGAAAGGTGACACTAAGAAGATGAGTGAAGAAAATGTAACACTTAAATGGAGAGAAAGAAGTTGAAGGAGTTCATATTAGATGGTCTGCCTCTTCTCTAAACAGGCTGCCAAATCATCCATCAATTCAAATTAAAAGAATAGGGTGAGGCATGGAGTAAAGTAACTCTCTCTCAACTGTTCCTATTACTACATATCACTTATATCAACCTCTCCTACTAATAATCTCCCCAAAAATTAAGACCTATCTATTTGCAGTTATACCTTAGTGTCCCTATGCCCCCAAATAACTTGATCTGTTAGGTTTTGTGTGAATGTGTTTAAATTGGTTTTAGACAACAGTCAATCAACAAACATTAAGTGTTAACTATATGCCAGGCACTATACCAAGCACTGAGAATATAAAGGCAAAATCCCAGTCTCTGCCCTCAAGGAGCTCACAGTGGGAAGAGGGGGAAGGAAAGACACACACACACACACACACACACACACACACACACACACACACACACACACACACACACACAAAACAAAGATACACATAGTATATATGGCAGGGAATCTCAGAGAAAAGGCACTTGGGGGAATGGAAAAGAGGTGGGAAAACAACACTGGGAAATGTCTCCTGAAGAAGGTGGGATTTGAACAGAGTTCTGAAGGAAACAAAGAGGCAGAGGTAAGCAGGAAAAGCATTTCAGGCATGGAGGAATTTGGAGTTGGGGCATCATTTTCAAAGCATAACAAGGCAGCCTGTGTCACTGGATCACACAGTACACAGAAGGAAGTAATATATAAGAAAACTGGAACAGAAGGGGAAATTTATGTAAAATAAGAAGTCACTCTCTTAAAAAATAATAATAATTCAATGTAGATAGAGCTACCATACCTGCAGGCTGGACAGCCTCCAACAACTACTATGGCACTGGAGGGATGGAACACACTTTGTGATGGAATATTGTAGGATCCAGACCGACCTGTCAGGAACAAGCATCACATCCAAAGAAAGGGAAGAGGAAAGGGGAAAAAAAAAATGAATATTTCATAAAATTCAATCGTAAAAGACCAAAAAAATAAATCTGCCTTACCTTTATTTGGGGGAGGAAAAAAAAGTAAAAATGGTAGTTTCTAAAGAAAGATGTCTCACAATAGGCATATTGTGCAGTATCTCATTACTAACAAAAATAAAAATAAAATAAAACAATAGGTGGAAATCATGAGGCTTTATATAACATTCATCACCACGACAGAAGATAGCTGAGTTTAAGTCTGTGACAACACATAATTTCAAGGCAAAGAACTTAAAACATCATGGTAATGCTTTAAGATATATGAAGCAGCTTTCCTCACAATTCTGGGATAGATGACACAAAAATCATTACATTAATTAGCACCTATTAGCAAAAAAAGTATTACCTAAAGTTTCAGGTGCACTCCAGCACGTGCATCTGATCCAGTAACAGGCTTCTTTTGAGCTGGCTAACTCATTTTTTTAAAGTGTATCCAGGTTAGTGCAGCAGCACAACTGACTCCCTAGGAACTACTTTTAAAAGGTTCACTTTAGCTAGATTCAAAGACTATTTATCACAATTTTAACCAGCAGCCTAAAGTTTATCTTACATTTGCATTCAAATAGTGACAGGATGTGTCACTAGAGCTTACCAATCTGACTTCAGGTTCACTTTTCAGGTTAAACAGTAACCCGAGTAGTAAAAACAAGGTGAAGAAAGAGGAAGACAGCCACCTCGAAAAGGGCACTCTTTCAAGCCATGAACTGAGGCAAACTCTAATAATTTCACTATCTAGCTCTCTCCTTAGAGGGCTTGAAAGGGAACCATAAATACAACTAAAATCTCCAGGCACAGTAAAGGGAGGTTGAAAGTTAAATAGTCTTATAGAGAGTATACACCAGAAAAGGACAAGTATTTATTTCCCCATCACCATACAGAGACAAATGCAAAATTTAGAAACCCTGGATTCAGTAATACAAGTATGCTGAAATTACAAACCCAGCACTCAAATAAAGTTAGCATGTTTTCTAATCCTTTAAAATAGTTACCATATTAAGCAAAGCTTTTACTAAAGCCCTACTCTGTGTGGCATAGGTAGTGACCTTGGGTTGTCTAAGGCTGCCAGGAGAGCACAAGCTCTGTCTGGCAGGTCCTTCCAAGCTGGAAAGGCTGGGTTAACAGGCTGTCCTCGAAGGAACAGCCCAGCTAAGTTTGGAAAGGCTTGTCACCAGAAGGTTGGCCACCAGGTGAATTTTTTTTTCAGCCACAGCAACTTTATAAAGGCCATCAACTACAAGAGGGCATAAAGTTGAAATCTGCTGTTAGTGTAACAACTACCCACATGAAAGCTATTAGGGAACCTCGTACTTGTCGAATGTCAGCTCTCAATGAACCAGACAGATCAGAAACAATACAAATACTAACTAAAATTCCCAGAAGCCAGAATTTTATTAATATTCTGGTACCCAGAAGCCAGTAAAACTTAGTCCAAACAATTTCATCCTCCTCTCTACCAAATAGACTTCTGGAGTTGAAAAGGAAAATGAGAATTGATTTGGGTTTCCCTTCTTTTGTAAGCAGTGAAGTGGGAGTAAACTGGTAGCAGTGAGAACAAATAACAGGGATAAACCACAACCTGGATCTGTCCCTTAGAGAGTTCACCATACAGGAGGAGTTCTTTCTTCCAAGAGCTCCGGAGAATATTAACTTCCAGTCCCAGAAACAAAGCGGGAAGGAAAACAGAAGGCACAGGCCAAAGCCACACTAAGGAAATACTTGTTAACTCTAACCTTACTCCAAGCGTTTCAAAAGTGAAACACCTCACTGTAGGCCCAAGTACCCAGATTGGTTTCTCAATATTTCTTTAGGACTGTTATGAATAATTCCTTTACTGGCAACAGAAGCAGATATTCTACAAGCCAGTGGTGTTATTCACACTTGCTAATAAATAATTTCCACTTGAAACAAGTGACTTCTGCAACCCAGCCGTCTTGTTACTAGCGCAGAATGAGGTCTGCAATCCTTAACCAACTTAAAAGTGTCTTGCCACCTCATAATACACAGAAGTGGGCACACAACAAACCAAAAATAAGATAGCTCTGGCGAGATTAGAGTGCATTCTAGGCACTAGCGACAGCAGCTAGCTACCCAGTAATAAGGGGCATAATTCCAAGGGTTTGTTTGTACCATCCCCACAAGGTTTCAAAGTTTCTTCCCTAAACAGCCTGTCCCCTGGCGTCCTGGAAAGCTTCCAGGCAAGGAGGTCTGGCCTCAGGCACCCAGGCTGCCTGCAGGTCTTGCAGACAGAAGGGACAAATGCAGCTAGGCAGAGAGGTCTAGCAACTCCAGATGCATCAAAAGAGGAAACTTTGAAGCCTGAGTATCTCCGAAGGGAAGAAGAAAAGAAGAGAGGGGTTGAAGTTAACCTGAAAAAAAAAAAACCAAGTTTCCGACTTTTCCCGAGTCCCTGTGGGTCTCAACAGACGCCCCCCAACCCCGGTATAAAATAAATCACATCCTTCTCCCAAAGGCCCCCTATACACTCATCCCCGACACCCACCTGTGACCCCACCCACTCTAAAGAAGTGGGGGAGGGAAGGGATTCGCGGATCGCAAACTTTGCTGCCCCGCACCCAGAGCCCGGGGCTGCATCCCTAGCATTGTAGGAAAAGGGACCCACCTGCAACGCTGTACGGGTAGGGCGGCGGGGGCTGGAAGCCGGGCTGGAAACCGGGTTGGAAGCCCGGCTGGAGCCCGGGCTGGGCTGGGGCGACCGGGATGGCCCCGTAGTTGTGTCGCCCATAAGCGTAGTCGCCCTGGCCCGCCTCCGGGTTGTAGGCAGGTGGTCGATCCTGCAGCAGAGGCTTATTATCCATGGTGCAAGGGGAGGGGAGGGAAATGAAAGGGGGGACAAAAAAGTGCTGGAGCGGACAGCGAGCCCCTCAGCTGCTGCTGCTTCCTCCTTTCTCCTCCTCCTCCTCCTCCTCCTCCTCCGGGGTTCGAACCTCTCAACTTCGCGGCGGCCAGAGGTTGCAGCAAAGGGAAAGCCCGGACGCAACTCCCCCCCGCCCCCTGCCCCCGGGCCAAAAGGGGGATTCCCTCCTCCCGCTCTTCGGTCGCCCTCCCCGCAGCGAAGCGGCGCGGCCAGAGGCAAAGTCGAGCGGCTAGGCAGGCACGCGCGCAGGGGCAGGCGTGGCGCGCGGGGCGCGGGGGCTGGGGAGGAGCCGGCAGACAGGACCCGAGCCCTTCGAACTCCAGAAGCAGGGGGTGAGGAGGGTTCGGAGAGGAGGGGGAGTGGCGCGCGCGAGCGCGTGCTCTCCCTCTCGCGGGCTGGGCTGGGCAGAGCTGGAGCGCGCGCAAGGTACTCGCTCCCACCCCTCCCACCCCGAGCCAAAGTGCTCGGGCTGCCTCTACAGCTCCCGCTTCCCAGGCGGGTCACAAGACTGGGGGTCACGTGGCGCTGCTCCCCGGCGCGGCGACTCGCCCGCCGAAGCGGGGGGAGGGGAAAAGGGGGCGGGAGCAAAGGAGGAGAGTCTTAAAGGAGCCGCGCCCTCAACCAGCCACTTGGTCTTCCCTCCCTCCACCTGTTGGGTCAGCCTGTGATTGGGAGCGAGGCTGCAGGGGATGGGGTTGGTCTTCTCCTCCTCTCCCCTCCGGACCAAATGTGGCTGACCCTTGCCCCAGACCGCCGGGAAGGCACACGCACTCACCTTCTCCCGCAGGACCCACTGAGCTTTTCATTCAGTTCAAACCCCAGGTTACCGGCCCGTCCCCCTTCTTCTGGGGTGATCCCTGGCCGGGGGGGGGTCCCCAGACATGCCCCCCAACTATGCACATATACTGGCGTCAAACACTGCACACAGTGCGGGGCACCCCCAGGCCAGCAGAGAGGCTGTCTCCGCATTCTGGTCCCCACACACCCCACGTGGAGCCCACCGGGGGGGGGGCTCCATTCCATTCTCTCCCCACGTACACAATTACGTCCTCAGGCCTCCCTCCAGGGCCGCATACATGCCCCCACCCCCGACCTAGACCTGGCATCACACACACACACTCCCAGAGGAGCACAGACACGCACACCCCCACACACAGTCGCATTCCCAGGCCAGTGCAGAGGATGTCTGAGAGGCCCCAGTCTCGCCCACTACACATACACATACAAACAACCCACGTGGTGGCTGACTCCCGTGGGGCTCCATTCCCTCCCCACATACAGTCACGCTCCTAGGCCCGTGGTGAAGCAGCCTGAGGGTCCCCATACCCATCCTCCCTAGAGACACAATACCCTAAACACACACTACAACCTACAATATACAAAACCACACACCCCAGAGTGCCCCTTCGTACATCGTACAAGTACACCAAAAAAAACACAATTGGTGGTTGACTCCCAATCAACATTCCCTCTACCCCTCCATATTACACCCACAATTAAACTTTAGAGCCATCCCTCCCCCAGTCTTCATTCCCACCCACCCCACACATAACATGCCCAGGGCCTGTGAGGCTGTCTCTCTGGAGTTCCACATTTTGTTCACCCCACACGTGGTTTAGTACAACCCTAGAGCTGTGTCAAGGCTAACTCCTAGAAGGTCCTCCTTCCCAGATACATATACTTCAAACATACGTTCCACCTCTCACTTCTACAGAATTCCACCCCAAACACCATACACACATTACAATTCCACACCCCCACACCGCATCCCAGGGCTGCAGCAAGCTTGAAACCTACACGCATACACACCTCATGTGGTGGCTGCCTTTCAAAGGCTCTCCATTCTGGCTACACACCCAGCAGGGAGGTGGCTCCCAGGGAAGCTCACACACACACACACACACACACACACACACCCCACAACCCCTGACTTGTGCTGAGGCTGACTCCCCAGAATCTCCAGTCCTGTATACCCCACACCCCATAAACACCAAACCACCAGCCTAGACCTGAAGCAAGTCTATCTTTCCTAGGATACTCCATCTCACATCTCATACAGAATTAAGACTACTAGTTCTAGTCAAAGGATCTTAGTTCATATTCTCCTAGATGCCTGTAAATGTGTGACCTTGAGCAAATAATTTCACCTGTCTAGGCCTCAACTGCATCATCTGTAAAAATGAAAGGGATGGATGAGATGGAACCTGAGGTTTCTTCCAACTCTAAATCTATGATTCATAAAATACCAAGTATCCCCACAAAGGTACACACACACACACACACACACACACACACACACACACACACACACTCCATAAACAATCACACCATTGGCCCCAGGGCCACATGTAAATAGGTACACAAAACCCAACACCCATGAACCCACACTGGCAGCACATATCCCATCCCGTAGACTGGGTCAAGGCTCCTTTTCTTAGGTTCTCCACTCTCCCATATAAACTTGAACACAAACACACTCAATTGCCCTCATCCCTGGGATAGGATAAATAGACAGGTGAAAGGAGCTCATTGCAGAAGGTGGTGGTACATCCTGGAAGGATCTGGGCCCACTTACTGTGAGCCCCAAGGGCGCCAAAGGCTTTACAAGAAACAACCCCTCCTAGTCCAAAAGCAAAATTAAACTCTAGCTGAGAGAAGGGAAGGCCTCTGGTTTCCAGGTTGGAGGTGGGGCAGCACCCTTCACCCGGCTTCAAGAATTGGCAGGCTCCCCCTGCACTGAAGCGCTGAACTGGGAGACAAACAGCTGGGTTAAAAGTTGCTGCAACCCAGCCAGTCCTGGAACTCCTGCTGATGCTAGACAGTAAGTGTGTTTCCTTCCTTCCCTCCAATTCAACACCCTCCCTACTAGCCCCTCTACCCCTGTTCTGTCCTCTGGGTTTATCTTCTGTTTAGTTTTTAAACCCTTTCACAACCTGGTCCCAGCCTATGTTTGGAACATTGCTGAATTCTACACACTGTCCCTCACTCCAAACTGGCTTGTTCTATGTTCCTCACGAGAGGCAGCTTGAACACTACCTTCTACTGGAAGCCTTCCCAGATCCCTCCCAAATTCCAGTGCCCTCTCTCCCAAAGGACTTTGCATTTTAACTACTTTGTATTTAGTCTGGTTATATTTATTCTGTATATGCTTATATATGTCTTTGTTGACATCCCAACTAGAACATAAGCTACTTGAGAGGAGGGGCCGTTTATTCTTGTTATTGATCTGCCCAGGACCTAGCACATTTATTAAGCACATACTGGGGTACCTAACAAATGCTTATTGATTGATTTGCACACCAGTAGCTCCAGTGACATTGAGCAGCTAGGTGGTGTAGCAGATAGAGTACCAGGCCTCGAATCAGGAAGACCTAAGTTCAAATTCAGTCTCAGACAATCACTAGCTTTGTGACATTGGTCGTCACTTAATCCTGCTTGCTTTAGTTCCTCATCTCTAAAATGAGCTGGAGAAAGACAAACCACTCCAGCATCTTTGCCAAGAAAGCCCCATTTAGGGTTAGGAAGAATGAGACACAACTGAAGAGACTGAACAACAATAAAGCTTCACTGACTTACTGCTGGAGGTGGAAGGAATTTGATTCTGGAGCTGCCCCCAAAAGAGTCAGGCTGAAGTGAGGAAAACAGATGTAAGCTACATAGAAAATTCATCATCATGCTCATGGAAACAGGTTTGTCCCTTTGCAAGGTAGTTGTCTGTCACCTAGCTTTCCAAACCCAAATGGGAAATTGTAATTTAACCTCTCCAATTTACTCTTCTATAAAATGAGGAGTTTAGACTGGATTAACTGTAATGTTCCTTCTGTCACTAAATCTCAGCTCCTATGCCAGCCACCTTCCCTAAGGTCATCTACTCCAACTCCCTCATTTTACAGATGAGAGGAATAAGGCCCAAGGATGTTAAGTGACTTGCCCAAGGTCACACAGGTAGTATCAGAGGAATGACTTGAACTCAGCCTCTCTGAATTCAGAGCCAGTGTAATTCCTGCTGCACCAAAATTTCTCCCCTGGCATTTTGATACCTTTTACAAAACACCCAGAAATATGGTAATGGAAGAGCCAGAGCTAAAACATGGTACGCTGAGGACTTCCGTATAAAAGAGCATTACCATCCTCCAAACACCCAGGTTCATGAACTCAACATTATCCTTGACTCTTCACTCTCTTTCACACTACTTATTTCAGCAGTTGTCAAAAAAGCAGTTGACTGAATCCAAACTTCACAGAACAAACCCCTTTAATAAAAAGATTTGTTCTATAAAACTTAGATTTAGTCAAAGGGTCCCATCCAAGGACCAAGGAGGCCCAGAGATTACAGGTTCTCCGCCCCTGTCTGGATCATTGCAATAACCCCCTAGTTAGTCTCTCTGCCTCTCCTCTCTCCCCTATCTAATCCATCCAACAGAGATGTGCCAATGATTTTCCCAAAGTACAAAGTTGACTGTTACTCCTCTGCTCAGTAAACCCCAATGGCTCCTTATTGTCTCTAGAATCAAATATAAGTTTTTCTGTTTGACTTATAAGGCCCTCCACCACCTCACCCCAATATTCCTTTCCAACTTCATTATTCATCATTTCCCTTCCCATATTCTATAGTCCAACCAAACCGGCCTTCTTCCTATTTCTCACATTTTTATCTCCATTTTACACCAGCCATGCCCGCTCTCCCACCTCTCTTCTCTGTCTAAGAATACTTTGTTTCCTTCAAAACTCAACTGGCATGCCTCTTTTGACATGAAGCTATTCCTGATCTTCCCCAAGTTTTAGTGCCCTCCCTACCACCACCACATTTAATTCTATTTGTTTGTTTATTTATTTATGTACATATTGTCCCCTCTGTTAGACTGAAGGTTTTTGAGAGCCAGAACTGTTTCATTTGAGTCTTTCTATCTCCAGCACCTAGCACAGTGACTGGCACATATAGGTGATTAATAAATGATTGACACTTGATCATTGGTTGACAATATAATGGAAAAAGTGTGACATTTGAAGTCAGTGCACATATACTCCCCTTCCAATTCCAGGTCTACACTTATTCTTTTAAGGCAATTTAATGAACTTCTCTGGGCTTCAGTTTTCTCATTTGTAAAATGAATGTGTTAGACCAGATGAACCCTAAGATCTCTTCTAGTTCTAAATCTATATAATCCTGTGAACTAACAATGCAAGAATTCGAAGCTTAGGACAATAGGAAACACACTGATCAGGGAGTTGCTGGAGGCCTCCACAGTGTTCTCTTCACTGAAAAGCTAAGGAGTTGGGACCTAAGGTCTATCTTATCTACCTCCACTGCTAGAGGCTCTTTTTTCTTTTTTCCTATTTTCCAACGATACCCAAATATTTCCAATCATGGAACCATCACCATTCTAAGGTTTGCAGACTTTAAATTTCTTACTTAATGCTCCCTCTTTTTTGTTGTTTTTTTTAATGTTCCCTTTTTAGAAAGCTAGTATTTCTTTATCTGCATAATATTACATTTCTTTGTATTCCCCCCCCCGCCTCGCCTTTTCATTTCAAAACCCCGCAGAATGTTCAACTTTTGGTTATTTTCCTATGCTATTGTCCTTCTAATAGTTTAGCTTACTCTGAAAACCATAACCATGACCTTCAAGGGAGAGAGAGGAAAGGAAGGAGTGCAGCTTTAGATGCTCAGAAACCCCTTTAAGAAACACTTATACATAAGTCCCAGCAATAGTGAGGCTGATAAGGGTATTATAGTGAATTGTTATATTGGTTGAATCTAGCCAATTTGCATTCAGGCTATGAAAACTATGGGAAAATGGTTTGACATTATTCTCAAGCCTATATAATATTAACTGGTTTTGAATCTTCTCAGGTTCAGCCAGGGGAAAGTAAAAGGGATCATTTCTTCTTTTGCCTACTTCTGTGAATTGCTGGTGACCCATCATGTGAGTTTTCTTGGGCACAAATCAAGAAGTTAGCATCACATGATTGCTATTGTATTTGCTGCAGAGGAAATACAATCTAGGATCACAGGATCTAGAGTTTGGAGACCATGGGTGTTCTAACATCCCTTCTTTTATAGATGAGGAAAAAAATTGAAATTGTAATGACAGAGAAAAAGTGTTTTAGAGAACTTTAAATTTGGCAAAAATTGGCCTGTTTACATCTCATAAGTTGAAATTAATCAGAGTTTAGGCCTGGACAGGACCTCAAAGATCATTTAATCCAATACCCTCCTTTTTATAGTTGGCAAAACTGATGTGAGGAGAGATGAAACCACTTAAACAAGATCACCCAGAGTTTGGACCCATATTTTCTGATGCCAAATCCAGAGTTCCTTCCATTATGTGGATCTCCTTCTTGGAACCTTCAGATTCACTACAGAGCATGCAGTCAGCCAAGCACTAAATTCACTCTAGGCTACAATACTTCTAAACACTTTCCTCAGCTTTTCCATGTAAAAGAAGCTGCTTGGTTTAGTCTAGGCTTTAGCACCTCAACATCTTGTATATTTCTGCCTTCACTGGCTTTTTTCATCGTCTTCCTACCTTAGAAAAAGTGAGTGCTTACCGAGGATCTGTCCTTGGCCTGCTATTTGTCCACACTCTCTGCCTTGGGAGCCTTAGTCATTCCCCTTGCTTCAAATACCAACTCTGTGCAGATGACTTCTGTCCTGACCTCCCCTCTGAGCTCCAGATCCTCACAGAATGCTACTGATAGGACATTACTATGTGGATGTCCAGCCAGTAGCCCAAACTGCTGATTTAACTCCTGCAACATTTTCTGAATTCTTCCCCTCCTCTCAATTCCCACTGACACCATCCATCCTTAGGCCTTCATTGCCTCTCTGTCCCCCTCCCCCTTCTATTGCAATATATGCTAACAGGTTCTCCAAATTCTACTCTTTGCTCCTCTAAAACTTATCCCTCATACTGCTACTAGAACAATATTTCTTATGCCTATATCTAGTCCTGTCCTTACCATGCTCAAAAATAGTCAGTGGCCTTCTATTGCCTCCCTAAGTGGCATAATGGATAAAGGTCTGGGCCTGGAATGAGGAAGACCTGAATTCAACTCTGGCCTCAGGTACTTACCAGCTATGTGACCCTGGGCAAGTCACTTACCCTCTGCTTGGCTCAGTTTCCTCAACTGTAAAATGAGAGTAATAATAGCACCTATCTTAACAGGTTTGTTGTATCAAATGAGACAATATATTGTGTGCATGCATATATAATTTCATTTGATAAAATATACCAATGTATTATAATGTATTATACACACATGTATATATACATATACTTATTCCCTTTCCTGTATCAGAGGAGATTTTATAATATATGTTTGTGTGTGTGTGTACTTATTCCCTTTCCTTCCTTCTTCTCCTACTCCAAGAAATCTTTATCTCAGTTAGAAATAATCTACTTTCTCTGAACTCATAGTACTTATTATCTGTACTACTCATGTGACACTTATTTACTACCCTGTCCCAGTCACTGTGTACTTGTCTTATCTCCCAACTAGATTATAAGGCCCTGGAGGTTAGAGATTGTCTAATACTTCTTTCTATTGCCTGAAGCAGCACCTGACACAGTACCTTGCTCATAGTGTATATTCAATAAATATTTGTTGAATGAGTAGTTCCTAGAAGTTATGCTTAACTGAAAATAGACTATTCTAGGGAAGCTCGAGGGCTTTGTGCTGTGATCCCTGATGCTAGAACACAACCTATAATTGGGACTTTTGTCAGCCACATGCCATAATTATTAATTTATGGATTTCAGGATTGTTAGGGCGAAGGGGCAGTTGGGCCCAATAAAATGTTGTTTTCCTTATTTTATTTCATGTATGTGTACACAAAGGCTAATAAAACAGACTAGAAAACATTTTGGGCCAAATAAGGACTGTTATAGAACGTCTTTAATCTCTAAGGGACTAGGAAAAGTAGAGAGAAGATAAAGTAAACGTAAAGCTAAACGCGGCCTGTTTCATTCCACAAAGGATGAGAGGAGAAGAGAGCTAGGCATTCCCAGAGGATGAGAAGGACAAAAGAGAGCTTGGGGACATAAAGTACCAAAGGAACACAGGAAGAGGGTACCAACCAAAAATGGCATTTCTTCCTCTCTATAGTTTGGCAATGAAGGATAAGATTTAAAAGGGTAGAATATGATTTTTAAAAATCCAGGGCACTCCCAAATAAAAGACTCCCCAGACAGAGCTGACTTTTATGCACAGAGTACTTGACCATCCATATAATATGACCACTACGTAATATGATTTCAGGTACGACTACAATGTTCCTTAGTCCCTTACAAAATATTTCCCCGGCTTTATCTGAGGATGCTTGAAATTCCTTCATCATAGGTGGTCTTCACATGGAGTATATTTCAGGGTGACAATGAACTTGGATAGTAAAAAATAATAATAATAACAATGATTACATCTTTATTTTCACTAGCTTCTGGTTTCCTCTGTAGTCCTATGTATTTTATACATTCAAAAATATTATTCTGAGAAGTTAATAGGCTTCCCCAAACTGCCACAGAGGCCCATGACGTAAAAAAAAAAAAGGTTGAGAAATTACTACTTTACAGGGAGTAAAATTGAGACAAGGCTTAACAATGCAAATGCCCTTAGGACAGTTCACCATTTGACTTCAATCAGTTTCCTTACATCAAACTCATTTCAATAATTCAGGGCTCTTGACTTTTATTTGTATGAGTACTTTCTCCATCAGTGAAGATGGAAACCTGCTTTGTGCCTTTGTAGAGATCTTCATGAGTTGCTGTGGCCAAAAATATTTATCTCCTGGTGGCCAACTCTCTGAACGTAAGCTAGACTGAGAATGACAGGATGGATGAAATTCATCCCACACCTATATTCAAAATCTTTGCAATTTGTTAGGACCTGCCAGAGACTGGAGTTCCACTGGCAAATCCATTGAGAAGGCAAAGACATCTCCACACCATAACAATGCATCAGAGGAAAACTTCAGTGGAGGCTCACTGTAATAATAATAACAATAATAACAACAATAACAATAACATGTATATATCACTTTAAAGTTTGCAAAATGCCGTGTTTGTTATCTCCTTTGATCCTTACAACTACCCTGTTAGATAGATGTTATTATCAGTCCCATTTTACAGATAAGGAAATGGAGTGAGAAGTTAAATGATTTGCCCGGAGTCACACAGCTAGTAAGTGTCTGAGGGAAGATTTGAACTTAGGGCTTGCTTGACTCCAAATCTATCACTCTAGTCCCTGAGCCAGCTCCCTAATGATACTTGTACTACCTGCTTCATAAAGTGTTTGGATAACAGTGTTTTATAAATATGAGGTACTATAAAAATAACGATAGTTCACATGAAGGTGAGACTGATTCTCATCTATTGAGAAAAGGTTTTAACTGACTTGGGTTGGAAGAAGGAAGATAATAGTGCTCACAGCATTGGACAACTGAAGAATGGGAAGAGAAATGATGAAATGCTCAGAATGCACAGAAACAGGAACCCAGGCCCACCAAAGACAAATTTCTTCCTCTTCGTAATTTTGTTCATGGTCAGTTCTGCTCCTCAGTAATTATTGCTGGTAACTTTTCACTCCTACCACTCATGTGACCAAAGGCTACCTTTTTTTTAGACCACATCCTTAAAATCAAAGCCTTCCTCTTCTCCTTTTCTCCAGCAGCCTTCCTCCATAGTGGGGCTACATCTCACTTTGTACAAAGTTGTCAGCCTCATTCTCTCCTCCAGATCACTAACTGAAAGTCAAGAAGACATCACCCTTGCGATGTCATTGGTCTTTGAAAACGAAGGACAAACAACAGCTCATATAAAGAGCAAAATGACTTTCCTACAATGTAAGGAAATGTCACAGGAAACAAATATACATGTAGGTAAGTTATAAGCACTCCTTCAGTTCTCCTCCTTCATTCCTCTGTTGGGAATGTTTCTGACTTGAGGCTTTACCACCATGACTCAGCTGCCTTCTCATCCTGAAACATCCCTTCAAAAATTTCAATAGGCACCTGCTCCCAATCTTCAGCTTTTCCCTAAATGACCTTACCTTTGGTCAGGTAACGTATTCCTTTCTAACTATGCATGGCAGCAACTCCCAATCTGGGTCCAATCCTCTCTCTCTCTCTCTCTTCTCTTTTCATTTCTCTCTTCTTTTCTTCTCTCTCTCTCCTCTTTTCTCTCTTTTTTCTTTTCTCTCTCTCTCTTTCTATTCTCTTCTCTCTCTCTTCCCATCTCTCTCTCTCTCTCTCTCTCTCCTCTCTCTCTCTCTCTCTCTCTCTCTCTCTCTCTCTCTCTCTCCTCTCTCTCTCTCTCCTCTCTCTCTCTTCTCCCCCTCCCTCCCTTCCTCCCTCTCTCCTTCTCTCTCTCTCTCTCCCTCCCTCCCTTCCTCCCTCTCTCCTTCTCTCTCTCTCTCTCCCCACAAAAACAGATTTGGCCTATGGAGCATAGTTTGTTGGTCCTGGCTCTAAACAAATGGCTTTTTTCTTCATCCCTTCATCCCATCCCCAAGTTGTGTTAAAATTGTATCTTGTTCTGGTCCCCGTTACCACCCTCTCCCCTTCTAGTCAGTATAGAAAGTTTGTAAGTGGTATAAAGGGGTAGTAGCTAGAAATAAGATTGCAAAAGAAGTCACATACAAACTCTTCCAAAGATCAAAGGAGCATAATTTATAAATTGGATCATATATTAACTAATATTAACCAAAATTCACATTGTATCCTATATTAACTAAAATTCGTAAAATGTATTGAATCAGGGGAAACCACCTAGGTGCTCCTTGTCAAGCTTCTATGATTCTTCAAGGTCCTATGATATGTAATCCAGACCTCCACAGCTCCAGACCAACAGAACATCAAAAGGTGATGATAATTTTGGGATAACAAAGCTTTACTGACAACTTTGAGAGATGGTTTGGATGTTCTAATGAAATAACCCCAAGGTGGGCCCAGATAGAAGTTGGCTTATTTCCCCCCCCAAGAAAAAAACCCTATAAAAATGAGACTTCAAACTCCTCTCTAGAACTGCTCCATCTCCATTAGGTCTATTCTGACAAACACTCTGCACTCTGATTCATGGTAATTATTAGCAATATCCTCTGCCTCTCCTCCTCCCCCTCCCCTCCCCGATGCTGCTTGCCTCCCTTCACCATCCATTTTCTGTCCTCATGCCACATGGCTCTATACCACTTTTTGTGGCTTGTCTCTGTCTTTATGTATTTTTTGCCCCCAAATTTTCTGTGTTTAACTGAAGCGTGATTGCTGCTCTGTTTCCTACTGCCAGTCGTGGTCTTTCCCAACAAATACCCAAAGAACTGGGAGTGCCTGCCCTCATTTCATAATTACATAAATTAATAATCCATTCATATAGTCACCCTTTCTACAAACATTTATTGTATCTACTACGTAAAAGACAGTTAAGTGTGGTGAATGTCAGTCATGATGTTCATTCACATTTCTAATACACACCTTTCTATTTACTAATCAGCTATCTAGAGAAAAATGGCGATGACAGTAAATTCACAGCATAAATCGGGAAGTGGGAGCATTTCTTGGACCACTTCACTGCTAAAAACAGGTAAATATATTTGTCCATACTTGGGAGCATGAGAAAGGCATTAACAACGTTCTGTGAACTGAAATGAAGTCATATTGTGCAGCTGCTATTCTTTGACCATAAATTCAACCACTTGACATTTTTCTCCACAGCTGTTTCTCCAGCTTGTATTCACTTGAGACAACCTCTGTAAATCCAGATCTTTAGCCTTAGAGCCTTAAGGGGTTAAGCAGAAAAAAAGATCAGATAACCAAAGGAAGTGGTTTCTGTTTAATGAGACATTAGCTTTACTAACAAAACAACAGTGTGGAAACTGCTGTTGTTTATATTGTCTCCTCTCATCTCAGCACAAGAACAAACAACTTAATGGGAGGAGGAGCACCAAAAATAATTTTTTTCCCTCTAATCTTTTTTGATCACATAGGACAACCATTTTTGCTTTCCCATAAAGCATGCCATGGGTAAGACTGTCAGAGACATACTGGGATGGAGGGACCAAGGGTCTGACCCAGTGTGTCACTTCCTGTGTTCTTATGTAAGGACTGGCTTGTAATGAAACTCAAACTGACAGTTTCTACACTAGGCATTTTTTTTTCAAAAATGATAGTTTATTATTTTTATTTTTCAAGTAACAAGTTTTTTAAATTAAATTTGTCCCCTCATACTTTACTCATTAAGAAAAAAAACACGCTGAAAAACAAACACCTCATTACATATCTAGTGGCAAAAGAAATTCCCACATTTAGAAAAGTCCAAAAATGTACGCCTATCTCTTTCTGCATTTTAAGTGCATCTCCTCTCTAGCAGGTCAGTGCCCTGTTTCATCCTCATTTTTTTGACCAGTGTTTTATCATTGCATTTCTCAGATGACTAAAATCTTTAAAAGTTTTTTCTCTATAATGTGGTGGTGTTGTTCAGTCGTTTTCAGTTGTGTCCAACTCTTCGTGACCGCATTTGGGGTTTTCTTGGTAAAGATACTGGAGTGATTTGTCATTTCTTTCTCCAGTTCATTCTACAGATGAGGAACTGAGGCAAACAGGGTTAAGTGACTCGCCTAGGGTCACACAGCTAGTAAGTGTCTGAGGTCAGATTTGAACTCAAGAAGATGAGTCTTCCTTATTCTAGACCTACTGCTGTGCCATGTAATTGCCCCCTCTCTGTAATACAATCGTTGTATAAATTGCTGCTTACTTTGCTCAGCATCAATTCATAAAGGTCTTCCCAGTTTCCTCTGAAATTGTACATTTCATAATTTCTTATTGTGTGATAATATTCCATTACATTCCATAATTTGTTTAGTCATTACTCAAGAGGTGGACAAGCTCCCTCTGACTTCCTTTTTTTTTTGCTACCATAAAAAGAGCTACTATACATTTTTTGTATATTTTGCATATTTGTATATTTTCCTTTTCCTCTTTCTTTGATTTGTTTGGGTAGAGAACTTATAGTAGGCATTCTTAAAGTTAGCAACAAGGAGATGCCTAAGTGTGGGAGAACCTGACCAAATGTAGCTGCCTTGATGACTCCTTGAAAGATTGTTTCAGGTTATACCAGTATACAGTGTCACTGGTATACGTGTAACATACAATACACATTAAACTTCCGAAAAGGTCTTCCTCAAGACCTCCAGCACATTGTGAAGATACCACATGGAATATATATGGGAAGATATATATAATCATCACTCAGGATGGGTTGTAATTTTTATATGTGAAGTACAAAGTGGGTATATGTGAAGTATACCCACGTGAATGAGACCACTGATCTATTGAAGTATTAGTTTTAGCAATTATAATAAAAATAATAAGCAATTTTTAAATGGTCCCTTTCATTTCTTCTTGAAATACAGCACCATCAGAGTCCAAAGGAAAAGAAGGCATCTAATGTGGCTGCCTTCAATACTTAAGGACTAACAGGTGAGGACTTTTTAAAACCTCAACAAGCTATACAAAACACAACTGAAAAATTCTTAATGGGCCATTAGACCATAGGGGTTGCTCTCTAAAGAATCATTCATCCATAACATTGGACTTGTTCAATTAATGAATGAATGAAAATGTACTTCATAAGCATTTACTATGTGCCAGTCACTATGCTAGACACAGTGGGGATAAAATACAAGCAAGCAACAAAGTCCTTGACCTCAAGGAGCTTACATTCTAGTAGGTGAAGATAGTACCTGTAAGGTAGTGTTGGCCAGGAAAGAGTATTTTGGATAAGAAAGTTAGAGGAAATATCGATTGGAGCCACAAGACAACTGATTGATATGTCCTTTTTTGAGGAATACCATTTTTGATTCAATTAATAATAATGTGTGTGTGTGTGTGTGTGTGTGTGTGTGTGTGTGTATCACTTCAAGGTTTGCAAGCTCTTATATACAGGGTGTCCCAAAAAGTCTTAGCTTTGCTATTAGAGCTTAAAACTGAACTATAACTTTTGGGACACTCATATTCTCTCTTTTGACCCTCACAAGAACTCTTTGAGGAAACTAAGGCAGAAAGACATTAAGTGACTTGTCCAGGGTCACTAGTTAGTATCTAAGGCAAGATTCCAGCCCATGTCTTCTGGACTCCAATTCTAAAGCTCTATTCATTAGACCACAGAGATGCTCTGATTAAAGTAGAGAAGTAGGCTACATACACAACCATAGCATAGAGAATAGCCCAGAATTGGTGTTGTGGGCCTAGGTCCAAACAAGAAAAAGTGAATGCTCACCAATCACAAGTCTAGGATTTCAGAGGTGGGAGCTTGAGTTCAGGATCAGAGGTGGAAAGATTGGAACTCAGACATGGAAACTCTCTCCTCCAATACAGTTTAACAACTGGTTGGAACTTAATAGTCTTAACAGTAGTTACCTGGAGCTCTTGGAAGCTGAGTGACTTGCTCATGGGTACAAAGTATGTGTCACAAACAGATCTTGAAGCTAGATCTTCCTGACTAGGCCAGTTCTTTATTCACATTCATGTAAATATTCCATTGCTACAGAACTTAGCAACACTTCTTAGCCACTTCTAATTCTTGCAGATCTAGAAAGCTAGCTTCTGTATGCACCTCTGTATCCTCATCATTATTGTTGCACTACATACAGTTTCGTTTCTGATCATAGCAAGAGACATTAGCTATATGGTTTAGAAGGGGGAAGAAAAGAGATGGTATAATCTTCTGCAGTAGGATAATGTTACTGAATACAACTAACTTACACAAGCAATTATATCATGCTCTTTAATGATATGCCCAAAATGATGGATGCAAATATGTCATGTGAAGTGTTATGGCTACAATTTGTTTTTCTGACAAACTGCATCCCTATAAACTATGCCTAAGAAATAGCCAACAATATTATCTATTCAACAGAACACTCAAAGGTCAAGCAGGACTTCGAATGTTTTCTGTATGTTCTTAACATCACAACAAGTTTCAAAAAACATTTATTAAGAAAGCATAGCTACATAGAATTGTGCTAGATAATACATAACACAAATAAAATAGACACTATGCTTTCTAGTCAAAAGCTCACTGTTTTAGCCAATACTAATTAATGTATGATGTACATCAAGGACCATCTCGGCATGCCCACAAGTCTACAAATATTATATACTCAAATTAAAGTAGCTCACGTTATGCACAAGTGTTGACATAAGTGGAATTTCATAGGGAAAAACAAGGGGTAAATTTGCATGGACTTTGACTCTCTCCTCAAAACACTTTCTGGTTGATATCATGGCTTTACTTGGTTAACTGCTGGTTAATATCCTTTATTCAAATCATTCATATCCCTTCTTGTTTTACCTTATAATTATTTCCATCTTCCCCTACCTCCTTACCCCTGCATTGAATTGATTGTAAACTCCTTGAGGGCAGGTACTATCATTCCTCTCTGTATTTCCTCCACTAACACACACTAACACACACACACACACACAGAGTGCCTACCACTGTGTAGATACTTACAAATATTTTGAATAAATAAATGAATGAATGGAGTCTCGTTTTGCCAGATACCCAGCATAAATCTTTTTGTCAACAGAATTTTGGTGCCTGGATCCCAAGCTTAAACACCTGAATCTTTCCATGTATGTATTTCTGGTCTTACCTTCTAGGTTTAGCTCAGAATTTGTAAATATAAACACAATTTTTAGGCATTAGAAGTTTGTGGCTTCATTTTCATTTTCTTCCCTTAGAAACAAAGTGAATTATTTTCTTGCATTGAACCACTAGCCATATTGAGATGTGTGAATCCTGGTACATGAACTATGTAGACTTTCAGTCCTTGAATGATTTGCAAGTTTCTGCACTGAGCAAGTTGGTTTTTTTTTTCTTCCCTGCAGGAAAATAGTCTTTTCAGTCATTTGACTCGGCATTTGAGGTACTACACTAGAGAAAAAGTGAAATTGTTTGAATGAATTAGTCAACACTGAATAATGGGTCGTGAGTGTACATTACAGAGGTGTGTGTGTGTTGTTTTGTTTCTTGGTGAGGCAATTGGGGTTAAGTGACTTGCCCAATGTCACACAGCTAGCAAGTGTCAAGTATCTGAGGCCGAATTTGAACTTATGTCCTTCTGACTCCTGTGTTCAGTGCTCCTGGGGGGATAGTAGTGTGGAGGCTAGTTTGGGGAAAGAATAGGGGCAATAAGGAATAGTGTAAAGAATAATCACGTTACAAGCTCAGAATCATAATAACATAATCATGTTACAAGCTACTAGGTTCAGCCCCAGCACATAGAAAAGTCTCCTCAGTATTTAACAATATTCTTTCTAACTTTATCAAGAGGGTGGTAACCATAAGCAATATGAAAATGAAAATGTCCTGAATCCTTTATGATTAAGTGTTTGCTCCCAGAGGAATGATATGATAACCAATCTGGGTTTAAATAATTCACACAGAAGGAAAAACCAAAAGGTGAAAAAAATTTCAAAATGGTAAATGAAAAAAATTTCCACCAGAAGGAAAGTTATGCTTTAAATTGTCTTAATAAATAATGGGAAATATAATAAACCAGAGCCATACAGGCCAGTCTGGTGGTTCAGCTCCAAAACAGGAATGAAATGAGATACTCATGTCATTCAAAAATTAACAAAAGAAGGTTTACTTAGCCATAGCAGAGGAAAGACTTTCAGAACAGGGAAGGAACAGTCCACTGAGAATATAGCCTTGATTCATCCAGGCTCATAGCTCTCTAGTTCTGGTTACTGCTCATTCTGATGGTATGTGGCTAAAATCCTAAGGGAGGAGCTCTAACTCCTCCTGGACGTTTTTGTACTCAGACGACCAGGAAGCTACATCAACAGCCTGAGCCCTAGTTCCTTGAGCCAATTAAATCTTGAGGACAGTTTCAATACCTTTTAAGGAAAAAACTAGACTAACCTGCTTGGAGTGAGGCAATAGTATATTGTTCCTATCACATCCCACTCCTAGGTGGTAAGGTCCTAAAATCAGAGACATTCTAGCACATAAATGGCTTTAAAGCTGTTACTGGACAAATTTGACCTTGGAAATGCAAGAAGCCTAACATTGGCAGCACTGAAGAAGGAAAAGAAAAGCTAAAATAGAACAATAACCAAAACAAATCATTTAAGAGGCCTTTGAAGAGGGAATGATCAAATATGAAGGAATGAAGACCAGAGACCCCAGGCTTACCCTCCCCCTTTTGAAAGGCTGGAGTCTTGAATCTTAGCAATCTGTCCATGATGTGACTAATGCCAAACTTTTCAAATTAACAATGGGTTTCTCAATGTAAAGAAATAATGATGAGCAGGAGCAAAGCTGGTACATCAAAAATATTGCTCAGATGACGACACTTATGCAAAGTCACCACTCATCATCATGAGTCAGAATCAACTGTAGGATGGTAGCTGCCAAATCATTACCCACTTATTTGAGGCACCAAGAATCACCATGTATGACCAGCCATTTAGTGTTCCCTAGTCTACAAGCCAGTGTCATAATATCAAATCCTTGCTCCTTTAGAAGCCCCTTCTAAGGGATGATAGTATTAACTAGTGCAGGAGTGATGGTCTGGGACAGAAGGAAGGGTCAAGGAACACAGTGTCCTTGTTTGGGACAAAGAACAAACTTTGGGATTGCAAGGCAGAAGTAGAAGTAGAATGACAACATATTGTGATCAGACACAGGAAGTTCATGAATGTGGAAGTGGTAGATTGGTGGGTGATGGCAAGATCAAGAGTGTGAACATCTTTGTGTATGGTTGAGGTTGGGCGGAAGAATAGATCATTTGAAATGAATTAATTGAGGAACTGTGAGGTTAGGGTGTTTGAGGGAGTGTCAATATGTAGTGTAGACACTTAGTACAGTGCTTGGCACACAGGAGGTGCTTAATAAATGTTTACGGATGACTGACTGAAGCCTCCTAGTATGACTGCAGTAACTGGGGAGGAAAGAAAAAGTGTGAACCCGGCACTGAATTCATTGAGGAAAGAAGGGGAATGTCCTGGAGGTCAGTATACAACAGCTACCAGAATATGAAGTGCTCTCACTGACCAATAAAGGCCGCAAAAGCTAGACCACTATGCATGGTCAGGAAGGATGAGAGAAAGTGACAAGGAAAGAAGAGAGAGGAGTCAAGAAAGAAGAAAAAGATGAGCAAAAAGGGGAGGGGGGGCAGCATTTAGAAGCACTGATGGGAGACACAGAAAGCTATAACCACTCTGAGGTAGCTAGGTGGTGCAGTGGACAGAGTGTCAAGCCTGGAGTTGAGAAGACTCATCTTCCTGAGTTCAAGTCTGGTCTTAGACACTTACTAACATAATAGTACTTGTTTTTCTTTTGGCCAAAACCAACCCTGAGGATCTCCCCCTCCCAGTTTGATTTCTTTTTTAATTAAAGAGGCCATCCTTTGGCTCACTTCTTAAACAGCCCTAATCACCAAATGGGCATTGCCCAGTCAAAGGCCAAGGTCTCCTCTGCATCCTGGGCCATCTCCAGTTGTTCTGATATATATCTGACCACCACCCAGATGGCTCTGGAGGAGAAGGCGAGGCTAGTGACTTTGCACAGCCCTCCCTCACTGTAATGTAATTTACTTGCAAGTCATGGCATCATCTTCCTGATGTCATTGTCCTCTTCAAGAAAGAAGGACAAACCACACAACCACAACCATATAACCTGTGACCCTGGGTAAGTCACTTAATACTGTTTGCCTCAGTTTCCTCATCTGTAAAATTGAACTGGAAAAGGAAATGGCAAACCACTCCAGTATCTCTGCCAAGAAAACCTCAATGGGGTCACAAGGAATTAGATGCAACTGAAACAACTGAGCAGCAATAACTTCTCTATGGTATATGAGAAGAAAATTGTATTACCTTGCTTCATCATAGCATGAAAGGGGCCCTAGAGTGTGGAATGGCAGTGAACTGTATCCATTGTCAAAAGAGATGTATAGTCAATCCTTGGGTTTGTCTTCAGAATTTTTCCAGCTAAGAAGGGCATAGAATAGCTTGTACTCAACAGGTGCTTCCTTTGAAAACCCAGGACAAAGCCATTACCTAAGGCTAATGGGATTATGTTTTATTTGTTGTTATGAGGTATGATAAGAGGGCGACACTCCCTCCCCAGGAGGTGCCCTTCTTTCCAATGCTGACCACTATCCCACATAATTCTCCAGTAGTCTATGCTTCCATGAGGACCATAGAGTTCTAGGTTCTTGACATAGTAGCATTCCTCTCTCTGGCCCACCTTCAAAACCTCACAAGGGTGAGAAACCACACTACTCCCTTCTTCTGATGTGATTACACTTCTCAAAGAAGTGTTCTCTGAGCTGCTTTGAGCACTCCTGCTGGGTTACTGTTTCACTCCAGGTGAAAACAATGCTAGTTATGGCTCTAACCTAGGGTTCCCTTCATAGCCCAGTAAGCAAACAGAAAAAGACTTTGTTGGTTTGGTTGGTTAGTTTTTGTCTAGGCAACGGGGTTAAGTGACTTGCCCAGGGTCACACAGCTAGTAAGTGTTATGTGTCTGAGGCCGGATTTGAACTCAGGTCTGCCTGACTCCAAGGCTGGAGCTCTATCCACTGCGCCACCTACCTGCCCCCAGAAAAAGACTTTGTAAGAAATATATTTAACAAGGGTCTGACACCAAAAGTCCGTAAGAAATTGATGCAAATTTATTAAAATAAGTTCCATTCCTTAAAGGATAAAAGGTCAAAATATATGAATAGGTTGTTCTCAAATGAGGAAACACAAATTGTCAATAATCACCTTGAAGACTATTCAAACTCATCAATAATCAGAGAAATGAAAATTAAAAGAACTCTTTGGCCCACCAATTTAATTGGCAGGGATGGTTAAAAAGGATAAAATTCAAAGTTAATGGGACTATGGGGAAATAGGCATATTATTACATTCTTGCTGGAATTGTAAATTAGTACTCTCTTATTTTAATAAACATTAAGAATTATAAGGAGGCAGCTAGGTGGTACAGTGGATAGAGCTCCAGCCTATCCAGTGGTTCAGAGGCCAGTGGTTCCCCACTCCTCCCTTAGATCCTGTGATTCTTCTAATGCAAAGGTTCTTAACCTGGAGTCCATAGAATTTTTAAATATATGTGTATTTTAATAACAGTATTTCAATATAATTGGTTTCTATTGTAACCATATGTATTTTATTTCATGCACTTAAAAACATTCTTCTAAGAAAGGGTCCCTAGGTTCCACCACTCTCCAAGGAATTTGTGACACACAACAAGGTCAAGAAGCTCTGTTCTAGTCAAGATATTCCCTAAGATTGTTATTAAAAAAGGAAAGTAAAGATCTTTCTGAATAAAAGCAGATTTATTTGTAATAGAAGAAATCCAGAAACAACCTTCATGTCCAAAGGATGGAGAACAGCTAAATAAATTATGAAATATTCACATTATGAAACATGATTGCACTAAAGGAAATGACAAATATGGAGAATACAAATAAATATTAATGGACTTATGTAAAGCAATATAAATCAAAAAAGAATCGGAATATAGACTATGACTATATAAAGAAAATTAGACAAAATATGCAAAAGGATCAGAAAGCAATATGGATATATTTTGTTATTATTTCTCTAAATGGAATATAGATATTTTGTAAATAAACTAAACTGAAAGTTATAGCTTTACATATGATATTATTTTTGTTTTGCTTATATGTGTGTTTTTATTGTTTACTCAATTTAAGACAAAAATTTAATAGGAAGAAAAGGGAAAAAAATGCTTTCCAAATGTAAATTTTTAAAATTGATGCTCAAAATGACCCTACATCATAACAAAAAGTTGAATTATGGTCAGTATACGCAGTTTAAGAAGATAGAGGGGAATAATATATTTTATAATGATTTTCTTCCCCAAAAAAGTTAAAAAAGGAAAGGGTTGATGAAGTGTTAAGTTTCAGTTACATGGAATCCAGCTAATTCACTGATGGTACAGAATAATTAAAAAATGTTGTACTATCACAATAGGTATACCAGTTATCCTTCTTCCTCCACCCTTGTTAACCACCACCATAGTCCGCCTTTCATTCAAATATTGGCAAAAACCATAAGGAAAGCCAGAACATTATATAGAGCACATGCTCAAATATCATGGCAGATTAGCTAGGAAATAATATTCTAATCTTGTATTATTTGTCAGGGGCCTACAGGCAGACCATTAGTCCTGCTGGAAAGAGCTTGAGTGTTTGAGTGCCTAGGTGGAGAGAAAAAAAAATAACAGCTTACATTTATAAGTGTTTTGTTGTTGTTCAGTCATGTTGGCCTCTGTGACCCCATTTGGGAGTCTCTTGGCAAGTCATTTAACCTCTGTTTGTCTCAATTTTCTCAACTGTAAAATGGAGTTAATAATAGCACCTACCTCACAGGGCTGTTGTAAGGATCAAAATGGATAAGTGCTTAGCATAGTCCCTGGCACATAGCAGGTGCTATTTAAATGCTAACTAGCTAGCCTTATTGGTGCATTTTAAACTCTTGATAACATGAATAGCAGTTAGATAACTATCTTCTCTAAAGGTCTCATACATATTTTACATTTAGAGTTATAGAATTTTAAATTTGGGAGGGACTTTACAGGAAATAATAGTTTAACCCTCTTGTTTTCCAGATAACGAAGCCCTAAGTCTAGAGCTAAAACTTCCCAGGGGAACTCAAAGTGAATTAATGGTAGTGCTGGAATTGGCTTGGGCCTTCCAGCTCCTCATCCAATGTTCTTTTGCTATCCAGATAAGAAAATTGCCAGAGCCTTCTCCATTCAGTTTAAACTCCTCTCTGTATGTCTTATATTGTTATTTTATATTATTTTCACATGTATTGGCTATGTTTCCTCAACAAGATTACAGATGTCTCAATGGTTGGGACCTATGTCTTGTTATTCTTTCTGGGTATCTCCTAAGCACCTTGCAGGTGTCTCAATAAATATTTGTTCATTGAATTAACAACTGAATAAACATATTTGTTTGTCTGCTGGCTGTTTAAAAGACTAACTATCTGATCCTTTTCACTGGCTGGTTGGGTACGTCATTTCCTGAGGTTGAGGTTGAATACTCTGCTCTATGACTGCAGACCACATCTTACCTAGTTCACTAGGTGAACTCTGCACTCAGTCTACTGTGCTCAACAGCATCAAGAGACCTGGTTTTGAATCTTAGTTTCCCCACTTACTGCTTGCATGACCCATGGGAAATGGCTTAAAGTCTCCGACTTTCACTTTTCTCATTTGCAAAATGAGGATATTTAGGGACAGCTAGGTGGCACAGTGGATACAGCACCGGCCCTGAAGTCAGGAGGACCTGAGTTTAAATCCAGCCTCAGACCAAACACTATACACTTACTAGCTGTGTGACCCTGGGCAAGTCACTTAACCCCAATTGCCTAAAAATAAAAAATGAGGATATTTATTTTACCTCAAAGGTTTGTTGTGAAGATTAAATGAGTTAATGGATGTGAAAAGATATCTGTCTACAGACACTGTACATAGGTCAGTGAAAATCCATGACCACAAATGGAAAAACTCAAATGGTACATTCTACTGATGCTGTCTTTACATATAAAGGACCATGCTGTAGATTATACCCATGAAAACAGTCTGTAGCCCCGGGTGGATTTGTATATTTGCTGGAGGGAATGAATCATCTGAATTGCTGAATGTCTTATGCTGGAATGATATGTCTATGGCTACTTTTTTTAAACCATTCATAATCATATTTACCAACCATATGATATAGGTGTAATCAATCAACCAACAAGCATTTATTAACTACCTACTATGTGCAAGGCACTTTACTAAGACTAAAATGAAATAGTTCCTGTTTTCAAAGATCTATTGGAGGGAAATATGTACACATACAGAATGTCTCCAAAGTTAGTGTAGTTTTAAGTTTTTAATAACAGAAAACTGCACTGTTTTGGGAGACCCTGTATCAATATGTACCAAATAAATACAAGGTGATTTTTGATGGGGTGAACTAGTAGCTGGGGGAATCAGGAAAGGTCTCATGTATGAGTGTAAGCTCCTTGAGAGCAGGAACTATTTTTCTTTTTGCTTACATCCCAAGCACTTAGCACAGTGTTGTACACATAGTATGGACTTAGTAAGTGCTTATTCCTTCCTCCTTCTCTACTTTCCTTCTTTTTTTCACTACTTCCTATCCTTCCTTCCTCTCCCTCTTCCTCCCTTCCTTTTCTTCCTTATGAGACAGCACTTGAGAGCTGAGCTTTGAGAAAAAACTAAGGATTCTTAAAGGGTTGAGGGGGTGAGGAAGGAGTGCATTCCAGGCCCACAGGGCAACTTCTGCAAAGTCATGGAGACAGAAGATGGATTATCAGGTAGAAGGAGAGGCAAGAGGGCCAGCTTGTCTGGAACATACAATTTTGGATTGGGGTAAAATACGGGGTGTTCCGTTGTTGTTGTTGTTCAGTCACTCAGTCATGTCTGACTCTTCATGACCCCATGGACCATGCAATACCAGGCCCTTCTATTCTCCACTGTGTCTTAAAGTCTGTCCAAGTTCATGTTCGTTGTTTCCATGACACTATCTAACCTTATCCTCTGCCATTCTCTTTTCCTTTTGTCTTCAATCTTTCCCAACATTAGGGTCTTTTTCAATGAGTTCCATCTTCCCATTATGTGGAGAAAGTATTTCAGCTTCAGCTTCAGTATTTGACCTTCCAGTGAAGAGCCCTAATTAATTTCTTTTAAGTATTGACTGATTTGTTCTCCTTGCTGTCCAAAGGACTCTCAAATGTCTTTGCTAGAATCACAGTTTGGTTTTTTTGGTTTTTTTGTTTCCACTTAGGTCTGTTATACTCAGGTTACATAGTATGATAAATCAACTTCACAGTACAAACACAAATGAATGAGATGTTAACATGAATACAAAAAAAGCAAGACAAACTGTTGCAGGATTTTGTTTGAACCTGGGTTTTTTTAGGATCAACTCCAAACATACAGTATATGAAAGATGGAATAAATTGGAAAAAGAGCCTTAGGTATTTCCCCAGTTCGGTGAGCTATACTGTTGAAAATATTAAGTAAATATGCTATTAGGTCATCTCTCTTTGTCACTGCCTTAGTTCAAAACTGTCACCAAGTGATGACTCAAGCCACAGAAATTCATTAGGATGTCCCTTAAGCTATACTACATTTATTAACTAGAATTGCAATTCTTCCCCCCCAAATTTAGCAATTTTATTACTTCAGTTGGTTTATGAGACTAAAACAAATGTAAAATTTCAAAGAGAATATTCTTTTTATCACATATATAATGAGATACCTTAAAGATAGAACTACAGGTGGAGCAAAATGTTTTCATAGAAAAATGACTAACTACTAGAACATACTACTGTCAGTCAAGTACATCTGAACAAAAGGCAGATTTTAAAAGGAAAAATCTCTACATAAACACTCTCTATACCTTATACTATCCCGCATTTCCTCATTGTACATTTTATAACAATATCATATAAAATTCAGCCTCAAGTTGGGAAGAAATGGTGATACAAAAATGAATGTATTTTATTTTAATTTCCAAGCAACCCTAACGTCTACATTAAAAAATATTTTTCTTTTCTGGGCACTTAAAACTGCCCAAAAGCCTGTCTTTAGATATTTTCTTCACTGTTTGTACACTCTCTTAAGCCCTATATTTTAATGCCTCTATACAATACAATATGATAAAAAGAAGACAAGTGCTTTTCAAAAGATTGCATTCAGTTACACCACTCATATTATCAAATCTGAAGTTCTATCCTTAAGGCATTTCATTTTAAAGAGGTCCAACCAGTGCAATACTCTGTAGCACTCATGGATCTTGTGAATTATTGCAAATAATCTCACATGCACACACAATTCAAATAAAAGCTTTTTTGGGGGGAGGGGGAGGAGAATGCAATATTATTTTTCTAACTCTAGCTAAATATTGTCTAGATGAACAGAGATTAATATTACTAATAGAAATATCCAAACTAATTTAAAGAGTGAAGTTTTCCAAATATTTCATTAGAATAATTCCACCAAACAAAAAGAAATAAAAAACTATGCCAGTACATTTTTCCTGTAGTGTAATATGAATGTTAATATGAGGTATAATCTGTAGGCAATTAATACAGATAGATAGATATATATAAGTATAAGCCTTTATACTAATAATTCATGTTAGCCTGGAGAAAGTTGTTTGTTTGTGTGTTTGTTTGTTTGTTTGTTTTTGGTGAGGGGGTTGAGGGAAAGAGGTAGGAAAGAAAGGGGTTTCATTGGGAGAAGCATTTATTTGCCTTAGCATCATTACCATGATGTATGCAAAACTTCTTATAGTGAACCATTACAGAAAGGTAAATCCAGAAAAACATACAGCTTTCAAGTGTGCTGGCCCATAATATACTTTGTGTAGCAGAGTAAGATTAATATTTTAGCATTAATAACACTGTACTTGCTTTTACATTTGGATATACACATAATCTTCATAGATGTATGTCAAAATTCACAAGGAGACCATGGAAACGGCTTTTAAAAAAAGAGCCACAGTGTAGTCTGAACTGTATTATGTGGAATTTCCCAGAATATTCTAAATTTAGGACACAAAACTGAGGGGAAATGTTGCTATTTCATTAGTAATGGCTTAGGTGAAAACTAAAGCTTACTCATCTTTTTTTTTTTTGATAGATTTGTTTGATGAGGACTGTGATCCAACGATTGTTTAGCAGCAATTTTACAGAATTGTAAATTCTTTTTATTAACAGGCATTATAAACAGATAATACTAATCTTATTTAAAAACCTTGGGTGCCACACTGGTGAATATAGAGCTCATGAATAACTTAAAAGTCTTTCTCATTTTAAAAGGCAACATACAGCACACAAAACTATACTAAACAAAGAAGCCATAATATGGATACATGATTGAAGTGTCTAAAATGTACATACATAATACTGTACATACATACAGTACATAATTAATGTTAATTATGTGTTCAGTACATGTTTATGTATGATTCCCATCATGCTTCACTTTCCCCAGACACTGAATTCTGCACTTCCTCTTCCAAAATTGGTACAATCAGGTTATCCTTAGACATCAAATTATATTTCATCACAAATTTAGTAAATCAGTGACACAAAAATGTTTCATTCTCATATTCATCAAATATTTGCCGATGATGAAAATAAGCATGTGAAAATATTCTGTAAATCCTACAGCATACCGATCCTAGTTTGGCTACAGATGACTCCTGTATGCTAACTCTGCTAGGGAAATATTTATTGCTATTCAGAAGACATGCAGCACCATCAAGCATGTGCCTAGTGTAGTCTATAGCAGGACTCTCTTTTGGAGTTTTATGAGCTGCACAAAGAAAAATCCATTGTTCAATTGCTGTCGTCTGAGTACATGTATCTGGATGGCATTCACTCTGAAGTTTGACAGCAAGTCCATTTAGCTCTAGGCAGAATTGCCTTAAATGTTCATATTTCCATACACCTTCATCCTGGCTTCAGGTGGTTCAAGAATTTTGTCAATATTGGAACAGTCTGCCCTTATGTTCTGTTGAATATACTGTTGAACAGCTAATGTGCTGTCCATTTCATCAAAGGATTCATCAGGCCAATTATAGAAATCCTGAGCCTTGGTGCCAGGCCTGTTTCTCTTCAGCACTGCCATCCCCTCCGTCATGACCATAGTGCCAGAGTCTCTAGAACCACAATTTGAAAGCATCAATTCTGCACCACTCTGCAGCGCTCAGCTTTTCTTA